GTACTTATTGAACATTGTTGAAGGCACTGGTGATATTTAAGAAATCCGTCGACAACTAAGCTGTTACTGCATTAGCGGATGCATCCCAAGCCCACAGGTATTTGATTTCCACGTTACAAAGGAAGAAATTGATAAATTTATAGTTGAAGCTCCTGATGACGAATATTTATCAAAAAATGTGTACTCGCATTTATAATTGACAGATTTTTTTATTGAAAACCAAAAATTGTTTTCACTTTTGAATTTCGAATAGAATTTTCAATACTTTCCATGAAAATCACTTTTTAATGTATCACGTGCCTGCGCTGCTTACCTGACTTAATCAGGCATAGGTACCTAAGATATTTTAGTTTTCACTTTAAAAGAGAATGACGTCATAATTCGATCCGATCTTAATAGGTACTTTATTACCTGTAGAATATTAATTGATGATAAGGCCCATCCCTTTTGATCAGTGTTGTTATTAGGAAAGTATACTTAATGTGTGAAATAAAATGGCTATTTCAGTTTTCTCTCCTGTAAAACGAATGAACAAATGTGAGTTTTCTGTTAACGACAAAATTCTTCTTAAAGTATACGACGCTTTCACACACTGAAATCCTTCGTATACCGCTGATACTTTGGTGGAAATGTGTTTGCAAATCATCCATAGATACAGTCATAAATGAGAGAAAAATGAAGCCGTGAAATATCCCCAAAACTATCTCCAGGAAGGAAAACTGTGTCTGTTGATGATAACTAGAAACTCACAATTTCATTTAAAAAAATACCGACGCTCGACAAAATAATGGGTGCCTCGAAAGAAGACAAAAGTATGTGTCGAATGATATGCAGGAAGGAATTGTGGAAAACTTTAAATGAATTCAACTTCAGCTGGGGAAAAAACAGAAATTGGCTCTCATAAGGCAGATAAGAGTGTTTTGACGTGGGAATAGAATTATATAATGTATACCAAGTTGACGAGACACTTTTCGAAATTTGCAAAACGAATGATTTCACAATTTGATATCAAGTTAGCGATACCACTTTTTTAGTATAAAGTTTTCTAGAACTTTGACTAGACCATTGGTTTAGTATATTTATTCGCTTATTAGCTGCGGAGAAAAATTTTTATTTTGGCCCCTTTTTTAAAAAAATACATGTTGTCTGGCTAACTCGATATCAAGTTAGTGATACCACTTTTTTATTGTAAAGTTTTCCAGAACTTTGACTAGACCATTGGCTTGTTATATTTAGTCGCCAATTAGTTGCGGAGAAAAATATTTTTTCGAATACATGATGTCTTGCTAACTTGACGTCAAGTAGGCGATACGACTTTTTTATTATTGAGTTTTCCAGAACTTTGACTATAACATTGGTTCGATATATTTATTCACTAATTAGTTGCGGAGGAAAATATTTGATTCACTTTTTGTTTCAAAAAATTCATAGTCTCGCTAACTTGACATCAACTTTTTATTATTGAATTTTTGAGTACTTTCCTTTTTTTTGAACACACATTTGAGTTTTCTGCAATTTTGACCTTAGTTTAATGGTCGGTCAGATTAGGATACCACAAACTCATTCCGGAACAAACCAACAACCTCAGCTCTATACAGAATCTACCTTGAGGCAGGACACGAAATCGAAAAAACTCTCGAAATATCACCACGGGATGTAGCGAGATAATCACGTGTATTCACAAATAAAAGTTATCGACAAATTGCCTTATGACCTATACCCTCTCTGCCTTAGCCACTTATTAGTTTTGAAGAAAGTCTCGATACTTTGAATATATTCTTTGTTTTATGCACTTGAAGATATTTTGAATATTTTTATCAAAAAAATACATGTGATTTTGACTAGAGGAAGGGTAGTTCACAACATCACCAAGCATCACCAGAGGGGGAGGAGGAGGGTTTAAAAGTTACTAAAAATATCACTTGGTTAATGGACGACGCCGAAGTGCCGAAACAGCTCTCTAATATATTGCTTGATCTATTAAAATTGATCGGTTAATGTTTCGGATCATGGTAGAAAAATTATTGATTTTTGTGTATGTTAAATCAGGCTGATTTAATATTTTGTAGCAGAACCTTCCAAAAACAAATCAATTACTTAATGAATCAATTTAAAGTCGAACTCAGGAGGAGTTAATGAATACCCCAATTTTTTTGGTTAGTAGTCATATTGTCAAGTCTTAGTATTTCTGGAACATTTTATTTTCAGATTTTCAACAATGTTTCAATGTGTTAATGAAGGAGCTTCAAATGAGGCTAAAATTATTGCATATTCAAAATTTGTAAAAAGTGAAGGATTTAGATTTGGTTCTGCTAGCTTAACGGTTAAGCCAGCAGAACCCAACAACAAAAAATAGAACACCTGGATGATCGGCGATAAGAGAAAAGATGTGCCTAAAATGAGCCTGAAATTATAATGGAATCCGATTTGACAAATTTTTTTTTATAAGGGTGGGTTTTGCTAGCTTAACGTTGAGCTAGCATGACCCATGATATCTATACGTTAAACAAAGAGCAAAAAATTCGGCAATAGAATACAAAATTAGCCTTAAATTATG